GCCGAGCAGGGAGCCCGATGCGGGGCTTGATCCCAGGACCCTGGGATCACGACCTGAGCCGAAGGCAGACGCTTAATGACTGAGCCACCCAGGCGCCCCTATAATAAATATTCTTGATGTGATGAGAGGAGATAGCTCATCTGTGGAACACTGGGCCATAAAAAAGACTATTCAGTCAACAAGAAAGAACCCATGAGTGTTGAAAAAATGTTAGCAGAAACAAAACATTCAGTAGAGGGTTAAAAGATTGAATTGAGGAAATCTAGAAAGTAGGATGAAAAGGTAAAACAAAGGTGAGAAAAGATAAAATTAGTGGGTCATTCTAGAAGGACCAAAATAGATTATAGATAAATGGAGCAGAGGAAGAATATCAAAGCAATAATTCAGACTTAACATGAGTTTTCAGGTTGAAGAGACCTGCTGGCCTGCCCTCTTATGAATGTTAAAAGATCCATGCAAAGGCATATCATCATGAAAGTTTCAATCAGTAAGGATAAAGAGAAGATCCTAAAAACTTCTGAAGTTGGGGAATGGAGGGGAGACATGAGTTAAATACAAAGCATCAACAGAAATGGTATTGACTTCCTAGAAATAATACCGGAAGTTAAAAGGTCTTGTAACATGCCTTCATAATTCTGAGAGAGCATGATTTCTGCCATTGAATTCTCTGTCTAATCAAACCATAAATCAAGTGTGCAGGTAATTATTTCCAGACATACAGAATTTCCAGAAATATATCTCTTGTAACTTTTCTCAGGAAGCTGCTGGAGGGTATTCACTACCAAAATGAAAGAAAAAACTAAGAAAATACAGGGTTCAAAATATAGAGAGGATCTAACAACACGGAAGAGAGGCAGAGGGAAGCCCTAGGACTCCCATTTGCGAGGCAGGGCTGAGAGCATCTAAGACTAGAGGAGGATGATAGAAAGTGTCTCCTAGGAAAAAAAAATGAAATTGACAGAATAATTGACATTTGAATTGAGAAGAAATTTAAGTTCTTGGGAGAACGTGGAGATGAAGTAGTGATAGTGAATGATATATGTATGAAACAGTTATTAACTCTAAAGGAAAAGGATAGTTGTATAGTAAATGAAATTATAGTTTACTAAACACTCTGGTGTGTCTGAGTCACCTAGTCATAGTAATTTAAATACTGAATGTAGACTTAACTAGATATTGATAATGGGAGGATAGTGGAAGAGAAAGTATGAATGGAGGATATAGTTTTAAGATCCACATTCTCAGGGGTGCCTGGGTGGCTCAGTCGTTAAGCGTCTGCCTTTGGCTCAGGTCATGATCCCAGGGTCCTCGAATCGAGCCCCGCATCGGGCTCCCTGCTGTGCAGGAAGCCTGCTTCTCCCTCTCCCACTATCCCTGTTTGTGTTCCCTCTCTCGCTGTGTCTCTCTCTGTCAAATAAATAAATAAAATCTTTAAAAAAAATAAAAGATCCACATTCTCACTCACAGTAGAGGGTGTTCATTGCTTCTTTTCTTTAGGTTTATAAAAATATAAAGTAATCAAGAAATGACCAAAAAGAATGCATGAAAAGTATAACTATAGTGGAGAAACTGATGAACAGTACGTCAGCCAGGTGATCAAGGTTAACATCAGTGAAAAGTCCTGTCTGTATAACTTGCCCTTGACATGATGTGATGAGAATGGTACTTTAGTTTGGTGGTCTTCCTCTCCAAACTCCCCAAAATCCATAATCCCAGTCTAACTGAGGGGCATGTTATAAAATATCTGATTAGTATTCCTTAAAACTGTGAAGATCATCAAAAACAAGGAAACTGAGAAACTGTTACTACAGGAGATTCTGAGACTGGAAAAGGACATTAGTTTAAAAACTAAGGACATCTGAATAAAGTATTCACTTTCAGTTAATAAAGTAGCAGTATTGGTTCATTAGTTGTGACAAATGTGTTGTGCTAGTGTAAGATGTAAATAGGGGAAATTGGGTGTGGGATACATAGGAAGTTTGTACCATCTTGCATTTTTTTCTGTAAATCTGAAACTAAAAGTTTGGTTTTTTTGTTTCAAGTTTTTATTTAAAATCTAGTCAGTTAACATACAGTGTTTATAGTTTCAGGAGTAGAATTTAGTGATTCATCACTTACATATAATATCTAGTGCTCATCACGAGTGTCCTTAATACCCACCTTCTATCTAGCCCATCCCTGCCCCCCGCAGCAACCTTCTGAAACTAAAACAGTTTCTTTAAAAAGGTGAATGCTTGTAAAAATAGAGGCAAGAATGGGGGAAAACCGCAAAGAGTTGAAAGTTACAGCCAATGGAAATGGGGAAGCAGGACAGGGAACTTCTCTTTCTCATAAACCTTGTAGAACCATGTTTGACCAAGTAAAATGTACAGAGTATAATTTTGATTAAAATAACTTAAGTTTAATATTATGCCACACAGATTTATAAAAATGAAAGTTTTTTCTATAGTTAGGTAGTGATTTAAAACTATTGTATGTATGGCATTGGCTGAGGTAAGAAAGTGGTCACCTTTGGCTTTTCATGTGTGGCCAGGGCATAACAACAGATTTGTTGGTCCTATATAGTTAGGTTGATACTAGATTGCCATTTTGGGACTAATAGTTATGTCCTGGGCCAAGTGACATAGATAATAATAGACAAGAAATTATAAAGAGGAAATCTATATCTTAAAAAAGAAGGATATTCATGGGTAGGTATATTTAGTTGTTTACTGACTGTATTATTTCTTTTTGACAGATACTGGGTCGTCAGGATGGAGTCCTGCAAGACTGGGTCATTGATGACTGCATTGGTAACTGGTGGAGACCAAATTTTGAACCTCCTCAGGTCATGCTCATTTCTATTTGCTGAGCATTTGGGGAAGTAGAAAACTACTTTAATTCCAGCCTTTTGAAAAGAGTATAGCAGAATTTTACTTTCTCTCTCATTAGTTTAGATAAAAAATTTAAAAATCAAGCATTTTTTTCTTTTAAAGAAAGATTTCACACATACAAAAGTAGGAATAATAAAAGTACATGAATCCCATTACCTGTCTTCCACCTTCAACAGTTAGCAACTCATGGTCAGACTTCACCTGGCACGCCTTTTTCCCTGCCCTCACCTTGGATTGTTTTGGAATGAATCGTAGGCATCATGTCAGATGTAAATATTTCAGTACGCGTCTCTAAAACATGAGTCTCTTTAAATAAAAACAACACAGTACACATTCTCACACTAAGAGTAAGAAATTATTTCATAATAGCATTAAATATGTGTAACTCTGACTAGTTTCAAGTTTTTATTTTGTTCTCTGTTTAAATTAGGATAGTCTTTTAAATCTCTTTTGGCTGGTCAGTTTCCTAGTTCTCTTTTTTTCCTCATAATTTATTTGTTAATGAAAACAAGCTTTTTAAAGTCCTTTGTGTTATCATTGCTGATTGCATTCTGCCAGTTGTCATTGAACTTGTAGTTCTTTCGTTTCTGTCCTATAAACTGGTAGTTAGATCAAGAGCCTGGATTTGGCTGGTGGGGGAGTATAAGGCTCACCATATGCGGTATATTATTTATTGCTACATAATAAATTACCCCCAAACCTAGCAGCTTAAGATAGCAGACATTTGTTATCTTAATTTCTCAGGGTCAGGCATCTGGGAGCTGCCTAGCTAGGTGGTTCTGGCTCATGGTCTCTCATGAAGTTATGGTCAGGCTGTTGGCTGGGATTGGATCACCTCAAGGCTGGACTGGGGCTGAAGGATCTGATCCCAGGTTCACAAATGTGTTTGTTAGCAGGCCTCTCTTCCTGCACTGTCGGACTGAAGGCTTCAGTTCCTTGTTGGGTGTTGACCTGAGGCCTCTCTCTATTACCATGAAAGCATCTCTATAGGGTAACTCCCAGTAAGGCAGCTGGCTTTCCCGAGAGCTTGAGATCCAAGGTGGAGGCAGTGACAGAGAGCATGCCCACGTAGAAAGCTGTGGTCCATGTAACCTAATCTTGGCAGTGACATACCGTCACTTCTGCTATATGCTATTGGTCACACAAGTCAACATAGTACATTGTGGGAGGGGACTACCCAGAGGTGTGGATACCAGGAGACAGGAGCCATTGGGGGTCATCTTGGGGAATGGCCCTCACAGACAGTATCATGTGTTTCCATCAAAAGTTTTAAAATGTCTGGTTGTCTCTTTTTGTAATGTTAGCAGCTCATAGATAATAATTTCTTGGGTGTATTAATTCATTAAGGTTGTGATCCTTTTATTAAGAGAAACTTCTCCTACCAACTGTTTGGTTACCCTGAGGTATAGTTTGTGTAGGAAAGAATAGATGCTTCTTTGCAGAAGAATGAGTTAATTTATTAGTATCCTTCAAAGACTTTATTCAAAGGAAAGAATAAGACAGAGACTTGGGTACAGATAGTTTGTTTGGGAAGTGATCCCAGAAAGCAGTAGACTGGTAAGACTGATGGGAGAGAGAGAGACCAGAAACAGCAGTAGTCAAAAAAAAGAAGGGTATGTAATTGATTTTATTACAACTATGGGCAGCTGGATTGATCCTGCTAAGGACTGTGAGGAACCATGTGGATTGGACCTTAAAATTGTTCCATTAGAAGGATGGAAGGCTGGAGACTCCTACCCCATTGGATGAGGGTTGTATTAACTCCCTTGCACTTTCATGTTGAGTCGGAGCACTGGTTGTGAGATTTTCTGGGGCTTTGGAAATGCTTTGAGGCTGAAAAGCAGAGAGTGAGACAGTGGCAGCAAGCTGGGAGCTTTCTGGCACTTTCCAACACAGCTGCCCTGAAATCTGAGGTGGGATGAGATCTGAGGTGGGTGGTGGTGAGGTGCACAAAAAGCATCTGGTTCAGTGACCTTTTAAAGTGTCCTATGACCTCATGGATTTAAATACATTCATTGTGTTTTAATCCATTGTAATGATTGATAATGGTACTGAGCTCAAATTTTCTTATCTTTAACTGATGGGAGCCTCTGATCCTGAATCCTGTTGACAAGGCTCTATGACTTAGATAGCTTCTTTGCATGACAAGATGTTCCAGGTTAAGAATTATACAAAATACCAGCCAAGCAAAAAATGATTGTATCTGTCCTCTTCCTTCTGACTCTCTAGTATAGCTGAGGGATAGGAAGAGAAAGCACTGTGGAAGCTGGTGCTAGTACTCACTACCTGCAAATTGTCTTGGCTTTAAGAAAGTATAATTTCATCTGGAAATAGTGAAGTTCCTGGTCCAAAGGTACATAGAACGGTAATTGTTAATGTTTTTTGGTTTCTGAACATTCTTTGATCAAACTGGAAGCTCAGTAATAACACAAAAGTTTTCCAGGCTACTTTTTGAATACTCCCCTCATTCATCTCCCCTACCAAAGTCCTAGGACAGTTCCCTTCATTGACTGAACCCTAGGGTTGGCTCTGCTAGCATGAGATATAACGTAAGTGTTGAGTGTTTATTTAATACACTTTGAGTGTTTATTTAATACACTTGGAGTATTGGTTAGGTGTCAGCGGGAAAAGAGCATGACACCATCTCCCTGTCTTTTTGTATAAAGTGCAGTTGGCTTAAAATAAACTCCCAAGATGAAGACTGGAGAAGAAAGTATTAAAAGGAACAAATAGCCACGAGTAGAAGACAATTGGGGTAATGCCAGTCACTTTGGTTCGGTCATGGTGTAGGAGCTTTTGTTGTATGTGAACCACAGGTCTCCTGTAGCCTGTGCTCTTCAAACTACTACTCACTGCTGTGTCTGTCATTGCCACTGTGCCTGGTTTTCATGATTGTGTAGGGCACCTCCAAAGCCTGGGACAGTTGTCTTCATTCATCATACCTTAGGGATGGCTCTGGTGTATCATTATTCTAACTTGAATACTGGGATATCCAATGGGGTAGCATAGTGGGAAATAATAGGCTTTTACCATTAGATAAGGGTTGAATAGATGAGGTTGAATCCTGGTGTCACTACTTAGTTGTGTAGTCTTGGGAAAGACATGTAGCTTCTCAGTGTAAGTTCTTACATAAAATGTGGGTGATGTTTCCTTCTTTTGGCCACCTCTGTTTTATCCTACTGTCCCCTTATATCTGTTTTCAGCATTTTCCAATTCCCCTACTCTCAAATACAACTCCCAAAGCCAAAGTAGATTTTTTGAATATATGTGGGGAGGTACAGGTGAGTTCTCTCTCTCTGACTTTTCAAATTCACTATGCCAGAATTCTTTCTGAGCTAGCAACCATCCCTCTCTAATTCTCTTTAGAATCCCTTAAATTCTTCAAAATATTTTCTCCATTTTCACAAGCAACTTGACTCTTTCTAGCTGACAGGACTCCACTGAGACTACTCATCTGGTATTCTGAAGCATGTATCTGGGGGGTGTGTGTGTGTATGTGTATGTGACATTGTTGGGGGAGGAGTGTCTTGTCAAATACCTCACAGGCCATATTTAAACTTCTAATATAGTAAACTTCATTGGGTTGTAAATTTCTCAAGCTGTAAATCTTGTGACTACTTATTTAATTGACTTGAATGGTTGAATGGTTTACTACTCATTATGTTGTATTTATTAAGCATTTATCTATTAGAACATCTGTTAGGTACCACGTTCTGGTAAAGGAAAGACTAGAAAGAGTTCTGTTTCTCCCAACAGTTTATGCGTATTGGGAAAGAAGCATATAAAGAAATAAATGAAACCACAGGATACATGTTAAATTGTGTTGGGATTATGAGGAACATGGTCTCTGATACTTGATCTTAATGCCTGAAATGGGAGAAGTTGATAAATAAAGGCATGGAGGTATGAGGGATGTCTTGGCAAATGCAAATTATTCTCTTTTGTGATTTTAGTACCCATATATTCCTGCACATATTACAAAACCTAAGGAACATAAGAAGTTGTTTTTGGTTCAACTTCAAGAGAAAGGTAAGTTATTTTGTTTTAGAATGCAGCCATCTGAAAACTTGTAGAGTAATTTCAAGAATACTTGTGTTTTCTCTAAGTTCCTTGAATTTTTGGATTTATTGTGAAAATAAAAACATATACTTATGTATATACTGAATTAACTACTGTTTTTTTTAAAGATTTTATTTATTTTTTAAAGATTTTATTTATTTATTTGGGAGAGAGTGTGAGGGCGAGCATAAGCAGGGGTGGGCAGAGGGAGAGAGGGAATCTCAGGTGGACTACACACTGAGCGCAGGGGCCTGAGCCAAAATCAAGAGTTAGATGCTTAACCGACTGAGCCACCCAGGCGCCCCAGAATTAACTAGTTCTTCTCATAGATGTGCCAATCATGCTATAGGGGGAAGGTTAACTAGAGCCTAAAATAGCAGATTGTAGTATTTTAAAATAGCTGTTTAGCTTCTGGTACTGATATTCACATGATAAACTAAAACTTTTAGGAGACAGAGGAATTAATTTTTTAAATACCACCTTTAGGTGTTTTGTACATTTTAACAAATAATTGTTTCTTGTCATAGTCTTAAAATGGAATTCAAAATAAATTGTAAACCTGAAGGCTCTTTTCTTCTCCCCTTGTTCCCAGGGCCAGCACTTACAAGGTGCTCTTGGGTGTTAACACTGTGAACTTTGCTTGAAAGATACAACCAAAGTGTATTAAAGAGGATTATCTTTTTCCGCAAAAGTTTCTCAAATGTAAAACTGGTGATTACTTTATAAATGAATTTTAAGCACTGATTATATAAGAATTTACAGGAAATGAATACTGTTTTGTTTTATTTTAGCCTTGTTTGCCGTCCCAAAAAATTACAAGCTTGTAGCTGCACCGTTGTTTGAATTATATGATAATGCACCAGGATATGGACCCATCATTTCTAGTCTCCCTCAGCTTCTGAGCAGGTATGGAAAGTTGAATATTTTGTGACTGATTCATCTAAATTGCCAAATTTAAAATACTCTGAGCTGCTTGAGAAGGAATAGTTATGAAATTTGGTCTTCAAGGAAACTAAGACTGTAGATGGATTTTTAGTTTATGTACAAGCCATAGGTTAAATATGACTGACTAAAAGTATCCCCAGACTCCAAGTTGCAGCATGACATTCTGGTATTTGGGTGAGTGCTCTGCCCCACATCTGATATTTTTGTTACTGTTAAGTTTGAAGTCTGCATTCAGAGAAGAGATGGTAAAATGGCAGTTAGCACTATATAATAAAATTGAGGGGAATTATCCATATGAAAATGTGGAGAATTGAATCTCTTGGTGTAATATGTTCTCTTTCCTCTTTGAAATGTGCTATATTTAGGTCTACTGGGATATATGGGATTAAGTCCTGAATTTTTACAAGTACATGGAGTTTGGTTTTTTGTTTTTGTTTTTTTTTTGTTGTTGTTGTTGGCTGATAGAGGTATAAGAAATGCATTTAAAAAAAAGTTGACTTGTACTGGTTGAGGTCCTTAGAGTCTTATATAGATAGGAGTCACAGAACAATGTGGTGGCTAAGAATATAGATGCTGTGGGCAGTGTTTGGATTTGAATTCCACCTTTTTTTTTTTTTTTTAATTCCACCTTTAATAACTTTCTGGCAGTGTGACCTTGGACAAATGATTATGCCTATTTGCTTATTTAATCTTCACCTGTAAATCAGGGTGGTAGTCCCCACTTCATAGAATTGTGGAGAGCAAGTGAAAAAATGCATATAAAGTGCTTAGAACAGTGCCAGGCACCTGGTAAATGCCTAATAGATGTTAGTTCAAAAACAGTTCCAATAGTGATTTTGGCCTTTGTGAAAGCTTGTTGAGTATGAAATTGGTTCTTTCCATTTTGTTAACTTATCAAACTTTATCTTTTGCTCCTCTTCTTTGGTCTGCTGATGGGTTAAAAGTTGAAGTATGAGATATGTAAAAGAGTCATATAATTCATTTATTTGAACACCGCTTATCAGGTATCAGGAACTGTGCTGAGTGGCATAATACAATGAGGTATAAAAATTTTCCTTCTCTCAAGGAACTTGTTGGTGGATAATTAATCAAATGTATACTCTTAAATTTTTTTTAATTGTAAGTATTCAACAAAACTGTTATTTAATGTGTAAGACGATCCAGGTGAGAGAAAAGGATGTTTTGGTGTGAGAAAATGCCAAAAATGTCAAGGGAGGGTAGAAATGTCCAAATTTCTTTACCATCTAAGATAGAAAATACTTTGTAAATAATGCTGTTTTTAATAAAGATATTGTTCTTTCTAAAATTCAGGTTCAATTTTATATACAACTGAATTCCTGCACAGTGGAGAAGTAAAAGAAGCCGTCTCTGTGAGCACAGCTATACACAGTGTAGAATAAACATGGTAGAAAAGTTTTTTTTTGTTTTTATCTCTTTCCCAGTCCCTAAATTGCTACCTACTTTCTGTTGTTTGAATAGTAAAGTTAATATGAAGAACTCGATAGTGGTGTAAACAAATGTGATAATGTTTAATTTACTTTTGGTTCTACTCATACTTTTTTGTACAACATTAAAGAATATGAACTTCTTTCTATTTGTATTTTTTCTTTAATTTTCACATTAAACTTGTAAAATTCTTACAGGTGAGGACTGTTTTTTTCCCCCTGCTCCTAGGCTGATGATGTTAAGAGACAATGGCAGGTTTAGGTCAGTTGAGTATATGGGACCCTTGTTTGGATGCCATTTTGGGGGATATACTCCAAGACTGTGTTCTAGATTTTTGTGATGAGGAACTTCTGTTTCTTTTGGGAACTAGATTTGCTTGATGGAGTCCCAAGGTGCAACTCCTGAACCAAATAATACACTTTGAGTTGTTCTACAGCAGAGCTCCCAGTATATTACTAACTGGTACATTTCATACTGATTTTTTCAGACCTTTGTTCACAAGCAACGGACCTTAAACATATGGGAAGCCATTAAAATTGGCTAGATTAGGGAAACTCATGGGAATTGGTATAAAAAGAGACCTTTTTGAGAGCTGACTGAGACTTTTTTCCTTCATATAATAGGGGTTTAATTATTTATGTTGCTGTGAAATTATGTGGTTTAGTTATTCTTAGGGCCATGGTAAAATGGTGATCTATGAAGGAAGTTTTTAAAAGTGGGTCTGTTAGGTTTTGAACACTTGGATTACTTCAGTTTATATCCATAGAAATGAAAATTTGGTTTTAGCAAGTGACAAGCCTTTTCAAAAATATTTTGGGATAATTTGAATCAACTGAAATCTAAAGACAGGATAGGGGATAGATTTTGTCAGCCTGTGGGAAAAATGCCAAATTTTAAAGTTCTTTAAAATAACACTGCTAAATTAGGATCAGGTTTTGGGGGAAATAAAAAATTATTCTTAGGGCAAAGGAGTGTGCTGGCTGTGTCATTGCATAATGGTCCAAGTATGTTGTGCATGCCTTAAAACAAGTGTGTTGACTATAGGCTTAATGAAAAGGAGATCTTGTAAGATGCAGCTACTTAAAGAAGAGAGATTGCTGTAGTTTTTAAGAGAGAGACAGAAGTGAACTTTTGATTAGTTCTTACATCTTTATGATAAGATCACAGGCCTTGTCTCCTAAATATTGGGTGAGTTGAAAGGTATATTGTAAATTCTTCCCTATTTAGACTTGAAAAAATCAGACCAAGAACATCTCTATCAATAAAGGTTCAAGTTTATTTAGCTGAGGTCCCATCAAGCCTTCACAAGGTTGTGTCAAGTAGTGATTGTGATCATGCTCATGCTGAGTAGTAGGTTAGCAACAGGCTGTAGGACCAAAAATAATTCTTAATTTCCTTAAAAGCCACTAATTCTGTGGATAGTCCTCTTCCCTCAAGAGCTAATAGTCCTGCCCCTGTGATTTACATTAGAATATTTATAACTTACTATAATTTTACTGGTGAGTTCACTGATTAGCTGAGCCTTATCAAGATTGGGGAAGGCAGAGATGGAAACAGCTTGATCCAGCTCACCTTCTTTGGTTGCTTCTGGCATCCAAGTGAAAGGCTATAGTAACCACATTTCAGATGTGCTAGCGCTTGCCACTTGGGGAGGGTGGAAAGAAGTGGACTTTTTCTTGGTGTTATTATAAAATGCTGTATAAGTTGAAGAGATCTGATTTGAAGCTACTCATGTCCTTTGTAACATAAGCTTTGACCTAGAAAGTCTTTCTTGATCATTACTTCGCAGTATAAGTGCTTGAGTCAGTCATCTATATGTTGGGGCCTGGGTGAGAAAAACCTTTGATTTAAGCTGGCTGGGTTACTAACCTTAGAACCTAAAAAGATCTGGTTTTGAATGTAAAATTGGCAACACACAAACACAGATTTTTTAAACTTTGAACTTCTCAGCTACCGTTGTATCTTAATACTCATGTTTTAGGTTTCCTGATGGAAATAATAAAACTAGAGAAATTTATATCTCATATATTCCTACATTAGAAAAGGGTACAAGGGAATGTTTGACACTAAGCTCTTTTGATGTAAATTCTTAACATACCAAGAACTGACAGTCTTAAATTGTGCATTCCAATTCTCTACATATTAAATACTGAATAATTTTAAAATGAGCTCTTGATGGACTGATTTGTATTTTTGAATGCCTCCTACGTTCCAGGTTTGTTTATAAATGAGAGTCCTCTTTTGCATTGTATAAGTACAATATATGTCATGTTATTTTCCCTGAGTAATTCAAGTAGCGCATATTCTATATAAATCTAAATGGTACCGGAAAATATTTAGTAGGTTGGGGGATAAACTAAAAGTTTTACTCAAATGTTTTCAGTCATATTTAGAATTGACATCCCTTTGAAGAAAAGTGAAATTTATTTTTTTTCCTGAGGACAACTATTATGATTTTTTAGTAAGTAGATAATACTTAAAATGGCATTGTGATAATTCTGTTTATGAATTTATACTTTTAACAGCAGATCAGGGAGAGTTGTTATTTTTTATCATTGTCTTAGCTTATTATGGTTCAGTTATTATTTTATTTACAGGTTCCATTAAATTAGCATTTCTTTTTTTTTTTTTTTTAAAGATTTTATTTATTTATTTGAGAGAGAGAATGAGATAGCATGAGAGGGGGGAGGGTCAGAGAGAGAGGCAGACTCCCTGCTGAGCAGGGAGCCCGACGTGGGCCTCGATCCCGGGACTCCAGGATCATGACCTGAGCCGAAGGCAGTCGCTTAACCAACTGAGCCACCCAGGCGCCCTCCATTAAATTAGCATTTATTGGCATATAAAACATAGCCAAGTTAGCCAATTTGTTTTATTCCATGCTTAATAAAAGTGAGAGGTAGAGGTCCTCTAAATTCAACAGGCCAGCAAGCAAGCAACTTAAAATTTCCTTTCTTAAATGATGTGACTCTTAAGCTCTCAGGTTTTTAATGACTATGTTTTTTAAGTACTTGTTCAGTCACTTGAGATGAAATGCTTGGAGTAGCTTTTCCACGTCAGAGTTTCTCAAACTTAATGTTTTTACTGTTTCATAGTGTTCGGGACAGTACGTGCCGTTCACTAAGACTGCTTCAGAGGGTGTGTGGTTTTGTATGTTGCTTCGCCAGAGAAGCCTTAGTGGTTTTTGACTGTACTACAAGTCCGCTTCTGTAGCAAAGGTTTGATATCCTATAATTATTCTACTTGTTTTGCATCACTTATTATTTGGGTTAAACTGGACTCATTTCAAGTAGTTTGCCTTTGTTGTTCAGATGTGATGAGGAACATAATACTATGATTTGAGCCATAAAACACATTTTAATATTAGCTCGTATTTATCAGGCTTGTTTTTGTGGGAATACAAAAAAACTGACTAAAACCTAAGTGAGTCTTAATGAAGCCAGTTTAGGTGTAATTTCTATCTTAGTGATGGATTGTACCATAGGACTAGAGAAGAATTGGGAAAATGTATTATGTTATCTGTTGAGGGAAAGATCGGTGCATTTACAAACTTAAAACTTGGTTACTGTGTTTACATCATAGTGTACTAGCATCATTTATGGTTTGGCTTTGAGAATTTTTATGGCATTACACTTAAAGAAAATGTATAAAAGAAACTGAAGTTTTGGTTATATTTTTATATTTGTAAAGTAAAAGTTTGATTGCAATGGTCACTGTTCTTTTTAAATTTTATTTTATTGTTCACTTCAATTAAAAAAATAAAACAGAATGACTCTGCTTGTGTGTGGCTACTAACCTTAGTGTGCCAGTAGAAATCCTGAACAGTTCTTTTCCATTGTTGTTGGCCAAGGGCCATTAGGTAAGAGACAGCTTGACAGAATAGCAAGGGTCTGAAGAACTGGGACATTGATGTTGCCCTCTCTGGCGCTCCCCCATTGTGTGTTAACCGTGATCTTAGGCAGATCTAGTTTCCTGCGTTGTGAAGTTCCAAATCCCTGGATTTGGAACCTGAAGATTGGGATTTAGAAGTTGTCACACAATTTTGCTGTGTTGTATCATTGGGGGCCTCAGTTTCCTCATCTATAAATCTCTGTGTTGGTTCCTTTAGGCTTTTTTTTTACCTCAAACTTGTCTGGAAGTCATGTTCTGTGACACTGTGCTTGCTGCTTATGTAATACTGTAATATAATTTAAGCATCTTAAATAGAAACCGTGTACCCAAAAGATGAGAACACCTGTGTCATAAGATCACAGCCTTAAGGTTTTATATCTGAACAAAAGTTGAACAAAACCTGATAAAGTTATTATAAAGTTTCTATGAAATTTTTACTGCTTGTATATTGCAGGTACCAAAAAGCTATGAAAAGTTATGAAAGGAAAGCTAAAAATTGAAGTATACCCATTAACTTACTTTTTCCCCCTGCAACTTGAGTTGGTTATTGTTTCCCCCTCTGCTAGATTTAGTAGTGGAACACACTGGTCCAGCTAATGAAACACCAGAGTTCTGTGGGAGTACACTTAAGGTTATTGGTTAGATAAGGTAGTTCAGTTTCTAGGATGTTGAGAATCTTCCAACAACAACAAAACTACTCAGCCTTTCTCAAAGAATGATGAAAATCAAATGAAGTCATAAATATGAAAGGATTTCAGATATTTAAAAAGTAAATAACAGTAAAGTATCTAGGTGTGATTCTTAATCTGCATAAGCTGGTTTGTCTGAATTGATAATTTTTAAAAATTTCCTTTAAATCAAGCCAAGTCAGAGCCACCATCCTATAAAGACGACAGAAATTTCAGTCTCTCAGTCATTATTGGGAGACTGTGGGGCCAACTCAAAGTCTCCAAGGAATCCAGAAAGCATAAGTGGTATTCTGAAATGAGGGTGGGAGTGCAGAGAGCTCTAGCTTCAAGATACTTTTCTTGTCTAAGCTGGACGGGCCCCTTAAGGTTTGGTGTGGGTGCCCTCCTGCCGCACTGGGCCTTAGGACTCAACTGAGAAAGGTCGTCCCTATACCTATGTCTAGCCTTCCTGGGCACACTAAGTGTTCATTCCTCTGTGTCTTGCCTCCTCCCCGGGTCCTCTCATGGAGTGGGATACAGTGCAAAGAACCAGAAACACGAATTGATTTGAGAAGGTGGGTTTTGACCATGCTAAAAAAAAAAAAATCCTTCAGAGGGGTGCCTGGGTGGCTCAG